CAGGGAATTCCATAGGTTCAGAGTGAGGAGGTTGAAGTCATGGCTACCAATGGAAGAATGGAGAGGTCGAGGTCATGCAGAAGGCCCGATCCGGCCGAACAAAGGGAGGAGTAGAGGAATGCGGAATGTCATTGGAAGAGATGAGGGGAGAAAACAAGAAATATTTTTGCACTTATTGTTTTTGGAACATGGAATGCTTTGCCACAGGTGACTGATCAGGCTGAGACCATTATAGTGACATAGGGAATTGGATCAATATTTGAAGATGAAGGTTATAAAAATGTATGGGTAGAGCAGACAATTGGTATCAGAGCAGTTCGTTCGTTGGAGGAGCTGATACCAGTTTAGGCTCAATGGATTGACATCCTCCTGCGCTGTGATTGTGTGACAAATGCATTAATCAACTATTTTAAATACTGACTCTTCACTTCTTGCTTTGTTGTATCATGATAGTTCAAACCAAACGTCAGGACTCTGAGCTCAGAGTCTGGACTGCCACTCCAGGACGATACATGGAGAAGACATTCATTGCTTTGGAGAAGATGTTAAACTGAAGCCTTATCTGCCTGTTAAGGTGAACATGAAAGATCCCACGGTACTTCGTTGAAAACATTTGGGATTTTCTCCTGGTGTCCTGGCCAACAATCCCCAGATAAATGGTTGTTCTTGGTGCTTTATGAGAGTTTACTGTTAACAAATTGGCCGATGCCTTTGCCTACAAATACAGTCACTACTCTTAACACCAATTTCTTGTGAACTTTGAGATGTTTCAACCTTTCAGGTGCAATATCAAATGCAAGTATTATAACAATAATTATTATTATCTTTTGGGACAAAGCTCTGTTTAAGATGTTGTGTTCCGCACACCAAATAAATGTCTATCAATTCACTTTGCAGTATCTTCTGTCTCAATGACATGATAAGGAGCTACGTCAAATGCAGAGCTGTTGTTCAGAGTGCAGGCATTGGGGAGGAGAGATGTTGATGAGGGGGATGATGCGGGGGGAACATGCTGGCACTCCTGAAGCCCCAGGGTTTGGGCTGCTATTCCAAGCAGAGCCTGTGATTGAATGAGCAGCTCAGCGCTTTGGGCTGCTCTTGCAGTGCATGCTTATTCAGGCTTGAACGCAGGCAGATCAGTGGAGCAGAGAATGAGAGCACAGCATCTTCTCCATCCGACAAGCTTATTATTTCCAAGTACATGAATGGTTATCAGGGCGATGGACAGCACTAGTGTGTTTGCAACTTTCATTCACTCTTACCCAGAGTGACAGCATCCTGCAGGAGAACTCACAACAGGAGAAAGATGCATTTCTCAGCTCTCAAAATAACCCATTCAATGTACCCCAGCCCCAAACTGAGTAGATTTCCATCACAGCCGTTTGTGCTGAAGGGTTTCCTGTGTGCATCAATGTTCAGCCACTTTGCTCTTCCTCTCGGGAACTCTCTCAAAATCTCTCTTTATAAGGAATTCTCCTGCAATTCTCTTTCACAATTCCAGTCTGAATGGTGTAATAATATCCAGCTGCCTGAGACACTGAGGCAGTTTCCCAGGGAATATGCAACTTTTGTGACTTAATACTAATCCTTACATAAAAAGACTTGGTGCAAAGAGGAGCTGAGGAGACCACTGTCTTCTGTTGCTGTCTCCGTTTTAGTCAAGGGAACTGGGTCCAGGAAGGATCTGAATAATTATCATTGTATATTTGATATAACATGTTTGTCAAAGGATTTTACAGTAATTAACAACAACAGCAACAACAACAAGATTACATTTATATAGCGCCATTCACGTCGGGAGGACGTCCCAAGGCGCTGGACAGAATACAGCATTTCAGACCCGAGCTGGGGTCGGGGGGAGAAAGGAGGGGAGAGGAAGGGGGGTGGCTGATGGCCTGGTCGAAGAGGAGGGTCTTGAGGCGGGACTTGAAGGAGGCTAAGGAGGGGGCGAGGTGGAGTGATTGGGGGATGGCATTCCAGAGGTTGGGAGCAGAGTGACTGAAGGCTCTCCCGCCAATGGTGGGGCGGGTGGATCGGGGGACGTGGAGCAGGCCAGAGCCGGCTGAGCGGAGATTAAGAAGAATTAAGAAGAGAAGTGACTATTTGTAGGCAAATGTGGCATCCATTTATGCATAGCAGTGTCCCACAATAGCCATGAGGTGACTTCTGTCCTAATTTGAAACCATTTTTTCCGCACTTGAATGGAAATGACTTGTACAAATCTGCATTATCTTAAAGAGTAAGACAAAAATAGCTTTATGGGCTAACACAAGGTGGAATTTCAAACCTTTGGTGCTTGTTTTAAATGACATTTTAGGATTGGAAACTGGAGCTAATCCGTATCCTCAGTGCCTGTTCAGAGCGAGGTCTCTTGCGGCATTAGGACAATACTAAGGAAATAGCTCATTGCTGCTGGATCTGACTGAGGCATCCAAGACAAGGACAGTTTTCTGACTCAGTGCCTCGGTTCCAGACGTAGCTGAACTAACAATCACACAAGTCATCTTACATGAGCTGAATGGAGGCCCCAGGGAAGGATACCGCCACGGCTGCCTCTCCAGTGTGAATATTCAGCAACGATTTATAGAGCACATACTGCATGTCTCCTCATCACAGATGAGCAACAATCCTTTGTTGTCACTTATCTCCTCTTTTCATTTACAGATGGTGTGTGGGTCCTTGGCTGTTGTCACCTTCTGGTACTTTGGTCTGTCTTCCTTTGTGTGTGTGATCCCAGACAGTGGTTGTCAACAAGCACTTCACAAACCAGCTCAAACTTGCGCTAACTCCACATACAAGCACCTTCCAGCAGGAGGGATCTCAGGATTGCAGTCAGGAGCAGGAAACCTGGCAGAAGTTACCATCTCTAGCCTTGAAACGCTGAAGCTAGTTGTACCCCAACTCGTGTTCTGGTTGAGTTTAACTTCACGCGACTTCATCCATTGTGAGAATCCCTTACAATAATAATAATCATAATAATAATCTTGTGTTTGATATATGACAAGAGCTTACATTTATATACCTCCCTACATGTGGGGTAGCATCCCGGAGCACTTGACAATGGCGGAGTCTGACTCTGAGCCAGGGCTAGAGGGAGGGAGGACGTGACCATGAGCAGGATGCAAAAAGGTCTTTAGCAGGAATCTGAGGATCTGACTGGCCTCAAAGTAGCCCTACTTTCCGTTTGACTTGAGCTTGTTGCTTTACACTATTTGGATATGGTGAGCAAAGAGTCAACAAACCTCCCTCTAGGTCTTTTTAAACTACCCCTTTAGCATGTTCTAAACCATCCATGGAGAATATGTGCCTCCAGTTTTCCATTTGCAGTGCCTTGTATTTAAAGTGATAATACTTGCATCCGATTTGTTGCCTCATCACATTGTTAAAATGTCTCAAAGTGCTTCACAAGATTTCCTTCAAAGTGTCATGACTATTCATTTGTCGACGATCATAGTAACAAATATTGCACACAGCAATGTCCCACAGTGTTCCACAGCCATCATGTCAATGACCAATTTTACCTGTTAATTGTATTTGCTGCCTCTTATTTCACAATTCCCCTGCATTAGTCTCATTTGCAATTTTTAACTACAGGACAATTCTGTAATAACTTGGGCAATTGAGTGGAGGTTATTTACTTCATCAAGTGACATCGGGTGTGTTTTCCGCACATGGTGCATATTCACTAAGTGCACAAAGTATTAACCTGATGATTGGACATTGGACATTTTTTAGTGCTAGAAGGCAGATATTCCAGTGAGATAGTGGAAGGTGAGATTGCATCTTGCACAGATTATTAATTGGTAGAAGAACAGGAAGGGACCTTGTCCAACCTCTCTGAAGCTCTTCCAGTCAATATGCATGGAAATGCATTTTGATATAAATGCATTTATAAATCCATATAAATGTTGACAACTCCGTAACCAGCCACCCCCCCTCCCGGGCTTCAGAAAGCTCCAGGCCTCCATCCCACCACTGTTTAAGGCTCTCTCTAAAGACGCTTCCCCCTGGTAATGGAGGGCGCTATATAAGTGCAAGTTGTTGTTGTTGAATCAGCTAAAATTACATAGATAGCCATTTATGTTGCTGTCTGGCAAGCTTTCCAACTCCTGGTCCAGCTAGGACCACCCTACCCATTAGCGCTTTGGCTTGCAGGGCTAACAGGAGCTAAGTGGGATGACTCCCTGCCCCCAGTGACTGGTCTGCCCTTCCAGGTCCTGCTGATGAGCCAGACTGGCTATGCTGTCATCAGAAGTATCCTGGAATATCGCGGAACCACCTAGCTCAGGAACCGGACAACCGAGACAGCCACAGAGGGCTGGCTCTATTCCAACATTCTGTTGCCAGGCCTGTCACCTTGGAGCCAGTTCAGCTCCAAGGAGGCCCCGCTTAAGTAGACTACTATCATACATTATAGACCGTTATAGATTCCCTCTCCCCTCCCCCGTGTTGCTCTTTGTAAACTTCCTCATGAAATTATTAAACTTGTGTTAACTTTGGAATGTTGGCATGGTGCAGGACATGATAGCCCAGTCCCTGGCATTTATTCTGAATTAACGGACGCTGACTGGACGCCCACTTGCAATGCAAAACAGATATTTTCCAGCCAGGCAAAGGAGCGACACTCCAGGATCTCAAAGCCACTATTGCATGGCCAATGAGGGTTAGGCATCACTTTTCAGTATGGTTTTGTGGATTGAGTACCAGTATTTGAGGATTGTGTGGCAGGTATCACCAATTATCACCACTGCTCAAGAGACACCAGTATCTGAGTATAAGTCGGCAGCAATCACTAAATTTTCACAAGTCCTGGTTTGATAACAGTATTTGAGAGTTTCAGGGCAGATGATAATAATAACACTCCTTGCATTTGATTCAGCGCCAAGTATGTTTACATGTCATGTTCCATAGCTGATATTGCTCACTTTAGCTAGCACCCAGAGTCTGGTTTAACTTGTCCAGCATCTTGAAATTAAGCACACCAGTCAGGTGCATTGTGCTGGTTTAAAAATACCTTTATTTTGAATAACGGTAACCAAACAGCAAATTGACCAAGTGGCAGCAGAGTAACCATGAGGGCGGGGTGACTGGAGGGTGAGTGACCAGGAAATGGAGTGACCAAGCACAAGAATTACAGAGCAGCGGAGTGAACGGAGAAAGAATGACCAGAGAATACAGTAATTCAGCAGCAAATTTACCAGGTGATGGATTGAGCAGGGAGCAAAGTGACTGAGGCAGATTTATCACGTGTCTGCGTGACTTGGTATTTATTGTTTGATAATGATGTTTTCAAGTTGTAATACTGTAATCTATACTGTATTCTGCACAGCAGCAAGGACCACTCAAACTGGGTGACACTAAACTTACACAGAACAACTACAGACACCCAAGACACCCAGCAAAGGTTGTGCTCAAAAGAACAAGTGGCAATATCTCTGATTTCACACCATCAGAATGGGTCCAGTGCCTTGAGACGTCAACCCAATGTGAAAGGCACTATACAAATCTAATTTTGTTGTTGTTGTAATTTGGTCCCAGCTCTACACAAAATGTTGCAAACTTTTCCAATCTGCTGGCTCTTTGAGAACAAATTCCTCCACCTGTTATCTTGACTTGTCATTGCTATGGTTAAGAATAAGGTTCCCGGATTAATCCACTTTTTATCCAGTTTTTCATTATATTGTCCTGTTTTTCTGGGCCAATGCCACACGATTGTTGGCTATTACTCTGGATTGTAATATTCATATCCAAAGAGTTCAATCACGTCTCAATAGGTGTATTGAGGTTCAGGTAAAACTCTCTCTGCACTCCCATCCATCACTTGCTTGTCAGATACAGCATGGGTAAGGCATGGAGCAAAGCTGCATGTCGGGCACAGTACAATACTTCTATGTCAGGAAATCTTCTTGTGCATTGCTCAGATGTGGCAGGGATCAGATCTGATTTGGTCCATTGGAATTTGGTACAATGCCATTGAATAGGAAATATTGGTTTTATTGAATTCTGTACAATAGGAGGGAATGGGAAGGAATTTGATTCATTGGAAATGGAGGAAGTGAGAAAACTTGTGTTAGAGCTGTGTAGAATGAGAGTGAATGGGAAGTATTTTAGTCCAATGGATTTCTGTACAATTGAAGTGAATGAGAAGGGTTTGGTCCATTTGGATTAGTGCGGTGATGGTGGAGTTGTGTTTATTGGAATACTTTACCAGGGCTTGACTGGGAAGGGACTGTCCATTGGTGCTCTGTTTACGTAGGGTGCATTTTGTTATTTTTATAGCAGAACCCAGTCCCATATCTGACTCTCAGTGTGAGCTCTGGGATTGACAATGAGTGGGTTAATGGCACTGGGTTTGGTACTCATCAGTTAGATGATATACACGTTAAGGTTACTCAACAGTGAGAAGTAGCCATTGGACCATTCACATGGGAACCCACAATGCGGCTGAGACCAGGGAGGTCTTCCTGCATGTCCACTTAAAAGCAATTCCTGTCTCCACAAAATGTTTCCTGTCCTCCAATGAGTACTTTCTGCATTTCAATAGATAATTTGTGGAAATCAGCTTTTTCCTCACTTACCATCCCAATTTCTTTCAGGTAAATACTTTATTGATGCCACTCAATATGGAAAAGCAAATTTCGATGGCTTTAAAATATTCACCCATGTGCTTGGCTATTTCTCGTGCTGGGACTGCCTTCGCAAGCCCTCCCTCCCCCCAATTACATCAACACATCTCAGGAACATTGAGGAAGCAGTGGATATTGAATCCAAATTCAAGGAATATCTTCAGGCAGGCAACAAACGGCTGGATGATCAACATTAATTGGAAGAGGAGCAAGTCGTCTTTCAGGTGATTGAATTTAGTTTCAGGAGCCCATTGTGGATAGGCTATAACTAGTAAATGTATTTTGTTCCTCCTGCCCAAGAGGGAATAGGGCAGACCATATAAGAACAGTGTAAAGGTTTTGCATCACGGCATGGAATCTGGAGAGGACATGCATTCTGGTGATTTGGGACCTTGCTGGCAGGAAAGGGAAAGCTGTTGACAAGATTGTGGTTCCTCCTCTCAGCCAGATAGCAATATGGGAAGCAAAGACCACATCAGTCACAAATAGGTCAGAGAATGAGAGTAAGCATCACATGGCGTCCATGTGTCAATTTCAGTTTATTCCTTCAAAAGGCCAGGTTTGAAGAACCTTCTTCACTCCTTCTCATCTTCTTCCTCTTCTTCCTTCTTTTCCTCTTCCTCCATGGGCTCGGTAAGGAATGGCAGCTCTGTTTCTGAGTTTCCAAGTAGAAGTGCTCCCTTTTCCAAGTCGATCACACACTGGAAAGATAAGAGATAACATTCTTCCCATGCAATGCAGCACTGTTGCAGCACTAATGTAAGAAGTGTAAAGGTTCCTCAAACATTGTCCCATCCAGAACAAACCAGATCAGGTACATCACAGGTTAGATACACAGTAAAGCTCCTTCTACACTGTCCAATACAGCCCGGTTAGTTACAGGATGAATTGCTCTCTAATCTCTAATCTCCTACAGAACATGCCCAGACCATCACTTGCATGGTTGTTGCTAGCAGAAACCCAGAGCAATCTCAGTCTTCATTGTTCTGATGTCCTCTCCCTCACTGGAGGCCTTTGACTTTGCTACGCTTCTCTAAACTATGGACTGGGCTGGCAGCCAACAGTGAACTCTGCTCTAGCTGAAACCTTCCCCTCTCGTGGTAGTCATCAGAGGTAGAAGTTCATATAGCATAGGTAAAGAATGACGTGCTACAATGCTGGCTCAACTGCATCCAAGCAGCTGAAAAAGCAACCTGAAGTTATCATCTTTATACATTCCTGGGTGAACAGAAATCGAGAGACACGGAGCTGAGAGAGAGCGCAATGGACAGAAACAGAATGAGATCGGCAGAAACCTAGTCAAATGAATACAGAAACAGAAGCAAAAAGCACGATAGCATGAAAAAGAGGAGACAGACAAAATAAAATGAGACAGAGGAGCAGACACAAACAGGCCAAGGAGCAGGTACAATGCACAGTGATATGGTGGATTTCCTTACTCTGAGAGACAGCAATGTGCGAAGACCAAGGCACAGCTCAGACTTTTCATCATCTACAAAACAGAATGCAGAACAGTGTTAGACTTACAGCAGCAAGTCACAGCCCTGTCCATTCCTTCATCGTTCTCTGTGTTTATTACGATCAACAATAGCAAATTACATTTGTATAGCGCCTTTCAGATTGGGAGGACATCCCAAGGTGCTGGATCAGCATCATGGATGGGACAGTGAGACGGGTTAAAGATGGGACAGAGAAGTAGATCTGTGCTCAGTGTCAGAAACTGTGTTGAGGGTGGGACAGGAAGGTGGTTATCGTAGTTATCAGCAATTGGCACACACATTTCAACTGCTCTAAGGGACGGACCTGACTGTCCCAGCCCTCTACCCTGAAGAGTACACCCTCCTTGCTTTGGTACGATGCTGCAAACATTCATTGATCTACACATCTGATCTGGCCCAGAATAACTGGAGACATAGGTGAACTGACATGTTATTGATCCCCTCCCCCACCATGGATATTCATAATTCTGTAAAACATTTCTCTTTGTTATGCAGTCACTCCAGTTGGGCATGAATTACTTGCTGCCAGATTTCACAGCCCCATTCTTGACCCACCCACTGAGAGTATATGAGGGGTATTATAATCCCTGAATTTTATGTTCTGCCTGTAATATCAAAGTATTTCCGATTGCTTTACAGGAAAATCCTGCCAATTGTAGTGACTGTGTAATTGTAAACTAATGAGTTTGTCCCCACAAAGTTGTCAGAGAAAGCTATAAAGTCAATGACCAATTTTTCTGGAGGAGCAGGATGGTAACATTCCTTCTTGTTGTTCTGCGAACTTCGAATGAAAAACCTGGCTCACTCTGAGGAGACTTGGAATTCACTATATGGGGAATGTACAACCGCAAGTCCCTGCCATTGCTGCAATTATACATGTAAACAGAATCTGGATGCAAAAGTCAGGTTTGCACAATAATGTGTTGCAAATGAAGCAGTACGTTTAGCACTAGGGTCCACTAATGCTGTGAGTCTAGATCACTGTGAAATATTGTGTGTATTTCACATAGACGTTCCATTCTGATATGTGCATATTCGTTCCTGAAATCTCACGTTGAGATTATGCTCTCTTTGCCCAGCAGTAATATCATTGAAGAACGTGAAATGTAGAGGGCTTTGAGCCTATTGGGCATTTTCTCTTCAAATGTGCTGGTGGTCTTCATCAACCTCCAGCTGTCGATCATGCAATCTGTCAGGCTCTGGGAGGTGGACTGCCACTGGTAAAATCCACAAGAAGATAAAACTCTAGGATTTCTCCCTGAAGTCTGAAGATGGTCCAAGGAAAATGTCATTTTTGAAGGAGACCTTTGCAATCGTAAAAGCTCCTTATTGCCAACCTCCACTGCAAACAATTCTGTAGACAACGCCTGTCACCATGGACCATTACTTGTAAGAGCAAGTATAACTCAAAGATTCTGCAATGGAAGATAATTGGTCTCAGATTACTAAGTTATTTGCGGTGAAGGGCTTACCTACTATCAGAGCAGAACACTCTACTTTTTCCTTCCCCAACATGAGCTGTAATGTCTCCACCTGTGCTGGTGTTGTCAAACTGTGCATTGATCTGCCATGTGCTGCATCCTCCCTCTCTAGAAATTCCTTTAAACTGCAGGAGAGAAATGAACAAAATTAAACCGAAGATCTTATGTTTTCAAACTCTTTGATTAAACTGTGGTAAACTAGATATCACAGAGGCAACAAAAACAACCTGAATTTATATGGTGCCCTTTGCACAAGGTAGCATCTTGGAGCACTGAATCACAGTGGACTCTGATTCTGAGCCAAAGAAAAAGGGGAGGTGATTGTAGGTACCGTTGAAGAGGAAAGCTGAAGATGGGCATAGAGAGGCAAAGCAGAGGGAATGAGTCAGGGAGTTCCAGAGGTTCAGGGCATAGTAGTTGAAAGCACGGCTGCTGATGGTGGAGAGAAGGGGTCAACGGGGCAAGGCAAAGGGAGTGAGTAGAGTAGTGGGGAGTGAACAGTTTGGAAAGGTTGGGAGGTGCTAAGGGATGAAGTGATTTTGTAGATGATTATGAGGATCTTGAAATCGATCCATTCTGCGACAGGGCCCCAATGAAGCCTGGCTAGGACTGGTGTGATGAGGTCTGGGGAGTTTGATATGGGTGAGGATATGGGTTATAGGGTTTTGAATCAATTGGACTTTGTGTGTGGTGAAGCTGGAGAGAGCGGCGAGGAGTGCATTGGAGAAATTGCAGCGGGAGGTCACGAAAGTGTGAATGAGGGTGCATACCCCATGATTGGCTATAATTGCAGGTTGAACATAGAAACAATGGTCCATTTGGATTGTAATTGTGAATGGAACAGGTTTAATCTATTGGGATTTTGCAATGAGATGGAATCCATCCAGATTGTAGTTTTGAAAGGAGAGTTTGGTCCATTCGGATGCTGTATCATAAAAGTGAATGGGAAAGGATTTGGTCCATTGACATTAGGAACAGTGAGGGTGGGTGGGATGAGATTCGATCTGTTGGGATTCTGTACTGTGAGGGTGAGTGGGATGGGATTTGGTTTATTGAGATTCTGTACAGTGGGAGTGAATGGGATGCATTGGGGTTTTGCTCTTGTATCAGAAATCAGCTTAGATAACATATGTACATCATATTTCTCCTTCAAAGTTACAGAAGTACAGAAGCATCCTTCTGAACATGAACATCCTCTAAGGTATTCTAAAAAATATTTTAATTACTTTTTTTAGTGAGAATGATTGCAGGTGTATCAGGAGTGTCATGTGGTGCCACACACATGGCACGATAAAGCACACAGCAAGGAGCTGACAGGACTGATTATATTTCAGAAATGTCATGTTGTTCACTGCCCAGGCAACCATTGATCGAAGCCGCGCCTGCTGAGTCTGGATCTGTTCTATTTCCTGCTCTCTGCAAACCATTTTAATAATAAGCAGGATCCCTGTTTCTGTATCCTCGGGGGAATGACAGATAAAAGAGGATCAAGGTGTATTGTTTATGAGAATCCTCACTGTGTGTGTTTTTTAATCTCTCAGTGGATTGACAAAAAATCAACTCAAAAATCAAGAACATGCTGGAAAGCATTTCAGAGTCTCAAGTTATTGTATCGTTTTAAAATGGGAATCAGGGATGGTCTGATCCGATTAAAGTCAATGTGGTTTTCAGGCAGTAGGAATGAGAAATGGTGAGCCTTCAAACTTGATTCAGCTCTAAGGTAAGCCTTACAGCAATTAATAAGGCTAGTGGGAAGCTGTTTTTCATCACAAATGGTCGGTCTATAAAAGCAACAGCATGTTGCGCCTGTTGTATTGAGTACTGCTTAGACCTCAATTGGAGTCTTCAGTTTTCTAATTTTAGCCTTGGTGAACAACCAGTGAGAATTCATTCAATTAATACCTGGAACAAAGGAATTTAGTGTTCTGAGACATTATCCTATGTGAAGAAAGCAAAAAAAATATAAGTGGTTGTTCTTTAGCTACAATTTAAGGATAACTTGGGTCATATTCCTTGCAGTAGAGGAAGTTAGGGGTATTATGATTGAGGTGTTTAAAATAATGAAGGGAATTGACAAGCTAGATTCGGGTCAACTCTTCACTCTAGTTTTATATCCAGATGCACAGAATGCAGAAACAGGGAAGTAATGCTTCAAAACAAAAACAGAAGTCGCTGGGTACACTCAGCAGGTCAGGCAGCATCTATGAAGAAAGGAAAGTGAGTCAACATTTCGGGTCCACAAACCTTCGTCAGAACTGGGGCATGTTGGGAGAGAGAGGCTTTTAAGGACTAACAGAGAGTGGGGAGGCAGGGCAAGGAAGACAAAGGAGAAAACGGGTTAGAGGACAGGGGCTGATGGGTTAAAGGGATGTTAATGATGAAAAACAACGGTGGGAATTGCAACAAAACAGGCAGACCAGAGAGAGATTTGTGTCTGGGACCCAGATGATTTGGTAATGGTCACAGAAGAGGAGGTGGGGAAGGTAATTATCTTCTGTGTTTTGTACCTGACATTTATCATAAACGTCCTTTTGTTGTTTTACTTTAATTCCAATTTTGTTAATCATCCAGGGAGGATGCCCTATCTTTCTCCTTTGTGGGAATGTATTTGTTCTGTCCTCGAACTGTCTCCTCCTTGAATGCTTCCCATTGCTCATTAGCTGTTTTACCTGACAATCTTTCTTTCCAGTCCACCTTGGCTAGGTCCCTTTTTGACTCACTGAAATGAGTCCTCTTCCAGTTGAGTATCTTCACCTTTGATTTTTCTTTGTCGTTTTCCGTAAGTACTCCAAACCTAATGACGTTTCCTCTTCGACCACGTTTATGGCCCCCTCCCCCCTTCCCCCGGCTCGGAGTCAGGCTCCGCCACTGTCAAGTGCTCTGAGACGCTACCCTGTATGGAGGGCGCTATATAAGTGCAAGTTGTGGTTGTTGACGTTGTGATCACTGTTGTCAGATGCTCTCCTACTGAAACCTGCTCCACTTTCCCCACTTCGTTCCCCAGAACTAGATCCAGCATTGCTTCCTTCCTTGTTGGGCTGGAAACATACTGATCCTGAACGTTATCCTGCACACGTTTCAGGAATCCTTCCTCCTCCTTGCCCTTTACACTGTTATTTTGCCAGTTTATGTTAGGATAATTGAAGTCCCCCATTATCACTACTATTGGTTTCTGCATCTTTCTGAAATCTGTTTGCAGATTTGTTCGTCTATCTCCTTCGTACTATTTGGTGGTCTATCGTATAACAGAGTAACAGCTCCTTTTCTGCTTCTTAACTCTAACCAAATAGATTCTGTTTTTGGACCCTGGAGCACATCAACCCTTTCCAGGTCTGTAACTGTGTCTTTAATCAATATTGCCACCCCCCCTTCTTTTATTCCTTCCCTATCCCTCCTGAATGCATTGTAGCAAGGAATATTCAATTCCCAATCCTGCCCTTGTTTGAGCCAGGTCTCCATTATTGCCACTACATCATAAGCCATGTGGCAACTTGAGCCTGCAGCTCACCAATCTTATTTGTCACACTCCGTGCATTTACACACATGCACTCCAACACCAACAGAGTTTACTCTGCATTTCTTCCCTGTCTAACCCAACTTTTTCCGGACTACTCCTTATTACATTGCTATTCGTCTCTCCCAGCCCTCTATGTAACCTGTTTGCCCTCTCTAATGCTACATCCTGATTCCATTCCCCCTCAAAATTAGTTTAAACCCTTCCCCACAGCACTAGTTAATTTCCCTGTTGAGGTGTAACCCATCTTGTACAGTTCTGCTCCAGAACTGGTCCCAATGATCCAGGAACCTGAAGCCCTCCTTTCTGCACCATTTCTTCAGCCACACATTCATGTGTTTGATCCTGCTGTTTTGATACTCACTTGCACGACGCACTGGGAGTAATCCAGAGATCACCACCTTTGAGGTTCTACTCTTTAGCTTTTTCCTTAGCTTTTGATACTCTCCCTATAGGATCTCAGCTGTTTTTTTTCTAAATTCCATGGATCCCAACATGGACCACGACTTTTGGATGTTCCCCTTCCTCCTGTAAAATGTTTTACACCCGTTCTGTGATGTCTTCAACCCTGGTACCAGGGAGGCAACATGCCATGTGAGAGTCATGTCTTTGGTTTCAGAAACGTCTGTCTACTCCTTTCACAGTTGTGCCTTCAATGACGATTGCATTGACACTTTTCACTGTCCCCCCTGAGCATCCATTTGCTTTTGACTCTCCTCCCCAGTGGTTTCATTACCCCACTGGTAATCAGTTCAGAGAACCGGTTTGTGAGTGCCACACTCTCAGGAGATTTCTGCACTGCCTTCCCCTCTTCCTACCATATCACTGCCAATATGTCCCGCCATATTCCCAGACATGTTTTACATTATTTTAATATAACTATTATATATTTTATATATCCTTCCACCTCTGCACTGAATTCCCACTCTCACCAAAATCCTTTTGTGGAGTCCTGTAGCTCAGTGCACTCGCTTTGCAAGTGAGAGACCTGAGTTCAATTCCAGGCAGGGCGAAACCTTGGGCAAGTTTCCTTACTCCACACGCCTAATAATAATCCCTCCAAAACAAAACAATAATAAATTGGTCATTTTCAATCTACGACTGTTTGTGGGACATTGCTGTGCGCAATTGGCTGCCGCGTTCACCCACAAATATACAGTCAATTCACTTTACAGTGTGTTCTGTGAAGCGCTTTGGGACGTCCTCCCGACGTGAAAAGCGCTATATCAAATGCAAGGATTATTATTATTAACAGAATTCTCACTCTGGTCCACCTCACTCAGTTCCCTCCTCATGCTGCTGGGCTCTGCTCAAGTGAGGCTCTTGCAAGTTTTCTCCAACACCTAACCTATGATTATTGAAATCAATATTGAGGCCAGAGGGCTATAAGTTCCCTAGCAGACAGATGAGGTCTGTTCCTCGAGCTTATGCTGTGGTTTATTGGAACTTCCTGTTTTGTTGCAATTCCCCTCTTTGTTTTGCATTATTAACACCTCTTTTCGCCTGTTTTGTTCCAATCCTCCACTTTGTTTTGCATCATTAACATCTCTTTAACCCATCAGCCCCTCTCCTCTACCCCATTTTCCCCTTTGTCTTCCTTGCCCTGCCTCCCACCTCTCTGTTAGTCCATAAAAGCCTCTCTCTCCCAACATGCCCCAGTTCTGACGAAAGGTCGTGGACCCGAAACATTGACTCACTTTCCTTTCTCCATAAATGCTGCCTGACCTGCTGAGTTCCCATTGACTTTTGTTTTTGTTTCAGATTTCCAGCATCTGCAGAATTTTGCGTTTTGTTTTAAATAATGGTTCAGTCACAATTGGAGTATAGTATTGTGTTGGAGATTCAGAAAATAATGACAGGGTAAATAGTAATAGGTTATTTCCACTGGTTTTTGAGTCAATAACAAGAGTGCAAAATTTAAACTAATCGCAAAAGTGAAGAGTCGATCAGAAAACATTTATTTTCACAGAAGCTCGTGGGAATGTAGAGTTTGCTGTTGAGGCAGAGTCTATGAATCATTTCAAAGGGGAATTTGATAGATGTTTGAAGAGGAGGACTATTAAAGCGTATGTGGAGCGTGCAGGAGAATGAGATTAGAATAGGTTTCTCGTGGAGAAAAACACCAGAGCATACTTTGTGGGACAAATGGCTAATTTTTGTATTATAACCTCCTGTGTGAAACAGAGTGGTTCAAGCCATCAATCAGGACTTTGAATCACATTGTCTAAGATGACACTCCAATGAGGTAGTGGGACTGTGTTGCTCTGTCAGAGGTGCTGTCCATTCAATGAGAGTTAAACCAAGATCCTGTGTGGCTGTTCACATGGGCATTAAAGATCCCATGATGCTATTCGAAAAGAGAAAGGAGTTTTTCACAGTGTCCTTGCCAACAATCCCCCAAATAAAATTGGTCACTCACTCCATGGCTGTTTTGGGGACATGGCTGTGCGGGACTGGCTGCCGTGTTTCAACCACAAAATACACAGTTACTCCACTTTTCAGTATATCCTGCAAAGCGCTTTGAGACTTCTCAACAATGTGACAATACTATATCAATTGCAAAGATTATGACATGGAGCTGTGGAGAACATGGTCTCCTGGCCTATTAGAATAGTAAACACTGGATTTCTTACCCTAATGTGTTTAAGCAGCCCCTGGATATGGTGCTGTCTTTGCAGCCAGTGTTGATGGTGGCTTTGACTTCTCGGTCATAGCACTGAGGAATAAAGGATACAAAGGGCAGCGAGTGAGAAAGAGTAACAGTAGAGAATGGCAGAACAGGACAAAACAAGCACTATTACATAGACATAAATATGAACACAGTTCCACACATACACAGACACAGACAAATGGGTGCTCACATAAGCAAACACTCACAACGAAAAATTGACTTTCTGCAGATCCTCTTATCACTCTTGCATTTTAGACCCCATCAGCTGCTGACTACATCAGTCCAGAATTCAATTCTGCCCCAACCATGGACCAGGCATTCATCCTCAAACAGCAAGAAACAACCAGCTACAGCAACACATGAAATATAAGCACACAAAAAACTGCTGACGGCACAGTGAGTACATGTAAAAAACACATATAAGTGCTGTTGACACAATGAGTACATGTGAAGCACACATATAACTCCTGCCAGCACATTGAATACACGTAAAGCATACTTATAACTGCTTACGGCACAGTGAGTAAGTGAATTCACTGGTTTGGCAGACCAGTTTCAGAACACTTGATGATCTCTTTGCAAAGAACACAAAGTCCTGAGAGAGTACAAAAGTAGAAAGCAGACATTGCCACTTGCTCTGCCAGCCTTGAATTCCCAGCAGACTGGAGAAGGCTAATTGCATATCAAATGGAACTGAACATTTCAGCCCCTCCATTGAGACCAGGGAAACCACTTTGCTAAATTTGAGAGAAAATTTAAAAGGGAATAAATAAACACGGGGAGGAACAGTATTTGAGGGTATGGGGATACAGTGGGAAATTGGCATTTTGGATACATGGCTTCATTGGAGTAGCAAACACCATCTCAAATACAATGGGTTGAAAAGCCTCTTGGTGTGTTCTATATTTCTATAGTTCTCTGGTAAACATACTAAGAGGCCACTCAGTACAGATTTTAGGGATATGGAGAAAGGGCGGGTTGTGGGATTAAACAATCTGCTGAAATTTAATTACCTGATGAAACAGGCTGGATGGGCTGAATAACCGCCTCCTGTTCATGTTTTCCTCTGTTCCTATTAATTTTTCCTCATTCAAAAACCAACTGCATTTCTTTTATAAAATACTACATGGAGTTAGACCATTGTGGTCCAACAACAACAACAAATTGTATTTGTATAGCGCCTTTCACATCAGGAGGACATCCCAAGGTGCTGGACAGTCTGTGATCTGCACCCAAGCTGGTGGTTGGGATCAGGAGGCATGGAGGGCAGGTAGGCTAGGGGAGGAGGGTGACGAAAGACACAGTGGAAGAGGAGGATCTTGAGAAGGGTCTTGAAGGAAGCAAGTGAATGGGACAAGATGGAGGGATGGAGCTTCAGAGGGTGGAGGCAGAAAGGCTAAAGGCAAGGCGGAGGATGTGAAACAAGCCGAAGCCTGCTGAGTGGGGGGAGTGGCCAGGTTGGTAGGGGGTTAAGAGGTCACAGAGGTAGGCAGGAGCAAGGCCATGGAGGGCTTTGAAGGTGAGGACCAGGATCTTGAGCTGTATCCTCTGAGTGATGAGGAGCCAGTGGAGTCGGGTGAGGATGGGGGTGATAGGATCGTAGAGCCTGGTGTGGGGGAGGACACAGGCTGCAGAGTTCTGGACGATCTGTAGCCTAGAGGGAGGAATTGGGGAGGCTGACAAGCAGGGAGTTTGCATAATTGAGTCTGGAGGTGGTGAATGCATGGATGAGGGTCTCGGCGGCCTGTGGTGAGAGTCAGTGGCAGAGCCTGGCAATGTTGCAGAGGTGGGAAAATGCGTAGCAGTTCATGGCATGGATGTGGGGGATGAAGGACTGTTGAGGGTCATCAGGATGGCGAGGTTCCTTATTGGCTCCTTGAGGTATAGAGTACATCCATGAGTTGTGATGCTGTCAGCGCCCGAGGAATGGAGACGCTGACGGGAGCCAAACAGAAGGGCCTCGGTCCTTGTTGACATTCAACTGGAGAAAGTTTGCTCTCATCCAGAACAACCTATGAGGACAGCAGTGGTCCTGGAGTCAAGGGTGGAGGCCAAGAGGTACAGTTGGGTGTCATCTGCATATCTGTGAAAGTTGACCCCACGTCTACAGATAATGTCACTAAGAGGGAGCATGTAAATGTTGAAAAGGAGGGGACCAAGGACAGAGCTCTGAGGGACGCCATACGTGACAGTGCGGGGCCTGGATGAAAAGCTGTTAGTGGAGACAAAGTGGAGACGGTGGGAGAGGTTTGAACCAGGCAAGGGCAGGTCCGTGAAGGTTGAGCTGAGAGGAGAAGTGGTGGAGGAGGATAGAATGATCGATAGTGTGGAAGACAACAGAGAGGTCGAGGAGGACAAGGCGGCAGAAAGAGCCCAGGTCGCAGATGGACAGAATGTTGTTAGTGACTTTGACCAGGACTGCTTCCTGGTAGGCAGCACGGAAACCCGATTGGAGGGGATTGTATAAGGAATGGCCGGAGAGGAAAGAGCGAAGCTGGGACACAACGACTCATTCCAGGGCCTTGGAGAGGAAGGGGAAGTTAGAGATGGGGTGATAGCTGGAGAGTAGCGATGGGTCCAGCGAAGGTTTTTTTGAGGATGAGGATGATGACAGCTGCAGAGTCATCTAGGACTCTGCAGCTCATGTCCTTTCCCCACCAGGCTCCATGATCGCATCACACCCACCCTAACTTGGCTCCACTGGCTCCCAATCCCTCAGAGGATCGAGTTCAAAATCCTCATCCTCATCTTTCAAGGCATTCCATGGCCTTGCCCTCTCCTACCTGCTAACCTTTTTGTTAACCTGTTAATAGAAAGGGAGGGAAGAGCATAGAGAATAATTGAGAGGGGGAGAGAGATAAAGTGTGTGGGAGAAAGAGAGAGTAATTGGGAGAGAGAGGGCGAGAGAGTGTATGAGAAGGAGAGGGGAGAAGGGAGAGAGAGTGTGTGCGAAAGAGTGATAGTGATTGAGGGAGAGAGAGGGGAGAGTGAGAGAGAAAAAGAGAGTGAGAAAGCAGAGAGAGAGAAGTGAGGGCAGCGTTTCGAAGTTCACTGTCAGCACAGATGATCCGAGCCTCCCTTGGCCACCGCGCGTGTGATGGGGGCGGGGGAAGGGGAAACCGACGACAGACACCGACTGATGTGCTGTGCAATTTCCTCCCAGAAAGCTTCCACTTTCCTCAGTGACCTCCTTCATGTCCCTCAATCCCCACCCCTCCCCATCCAACTATGTGACCCCTGACCTGGCCTTTCCCTTTGCCCAGCAAACACCTGTTTACTTCATGTCCCTTCATTTTACCCCCGCTCTCCTCCCCTCTTTCAAAGCACGTCAAAACCAAACTCTTTGACTACACTGTTGGTCATTTTCCCCCTTCCCCATCCCACCTCCCTGAGGTGCCTACCCCCAACTCAGGTACCCAGCCAGCAGGATCGAGGGCTTTGAGTTGTCCTTCCAACATGAAAAAGGTGCTGTGCAATATTGTCTTGTTTCTAGAAGAGAAACACAAAAATATTTCTTTTTCTCAAATAGGGCATCTGGGCCATGGCAGCCAAAAGGTTTAACCACCCTGATTTCGACCAATGCTTGAAAAGAAGGAACATTAAACTGTCAGGAAGTGAAGAGCAGTGTGGGATGACTTAAGGTTATTTGTGTGTAGAAAAACGGCATGGTAGACAATGCAATGCTCTGAATATAGTGCTAGCGAGGGATGGTAACATACCGTGCAAGAAACTTTCAGGGAGTCCCATTGATTCAAACAGGCCGCATCTTCTTTCACATTTAGCCTCTCAGTCTGCTCGGCCAGAGGTGAGCAAACTCTAGAAGCCATGTCTTTGGCATCAACGTGCAGCCTTGTGATGTTGCTCTCCAGTAATCTCCTCTGAACAATGCTGTGAGGTTGCTGAGCAGTGAAAGAGATCTAGTGTTTTATCATATCAAAACATCCAAAAGCACTTAAAAGGTTCAGGGATGAGAATCTTTATTTCTGTTTTTTGGCGCTCTGGTATCTGTGTGTGTGCACACATGGGTCTCTTTCTCTCTCTCTCTCTCTCTCTTTCTCTCTCTCTCTGGTGTGTGTATCCTCTCTGGTGTCTGAGTCTCCCTCTGGTATGTATACCTGTCTGGGGGAAGTTGTCTTCCTCTGGTGAATTTATGTCTTTCTTTGGAGTGTATTTTTGTTTCTCTGGTACGTTTGTGTTTCTCTGGTGTTTTCCACCGCCCACCACCTCCTCCGAGCGCCCCCTCAAGCAACCTTCAATCATCACATCTAACGCCAAGTGCGAAGAGGGCATGGACTTCCTTACCTCTAAAATTGACAACATCCACCTGGCAGCTTCATCCTTCTGCACCGTGTCGCCTACCACTACCCCCAGCCCATCTCCCTCACCCACCCCGCCTTCAGCTCCTACCACGGCCCCCATCCTACATTCATTTGTCCCAATCTCTCCTTCCTTCCTCTCATCTACCAATGAAACCCACCACCTACTGCCTCGACCTCCCCTCCCCACCCCACTGCTGATCACCCAGCTCCCCCTCCTCTGCCCACTGCTGGCAGCCACTATTAACCAGTCTCTCTCCTCAGGATCAGTCCACTCCCCCTCAAAACTGTGGTTATCATTCCCCTCCTTAAAAAACCTACCCTCGATCCCTCCAACCTCGGCCACTACCGCCCTATTCCAAACCTGCCCTTCCTTGCCAAAGCTCTGGAACACGTTGTTGCCAACCAACTTCGTGCACACCTCTCCCTCCACACCCTACTCGAACCCCTCCAGTCCAGTTTCCGCCCTGCCCACAGTACAGAGACAGCGCTCATGAAAGTCACAAACGATATCCTCTCTCTGTAACCAGGGCTCCCTCCGCCTCCTTATCTTCCTGGATCTCTCCACCGCATTCGACACAGTCGATCACGCCATCCTCCTCCACCACCTTTCCTCCATCATCCACCTCAGTGGGATTGCACTCGCTTGGTTCGAGTCCTACCTCACAAACCGCCAGCACTACATTTCTGCAAATGGCTTTTCTTCTCGCTTCCACCCGATCACCTGTGGGGTACCCCAAGGATCCAACCTTGGCCCCCTTCTCTTCCTCATCTATATGCTCTCTCTCGGCGATGTCATCTGCAGATACAGGGTTGACTTCCACATGTATGCGGATGACACTCAACTCTATTTTTCCACCTCCAGCTGCGACCCACAGTTCCCTGATGTTCTATCAGCTTGTCTGTCAAACATCAGGAGATGGATGAGCGCAAATTTCCTGCAGTTAAACGTCAACAAGATGGAAGTCATACACTTTAGCTTTCGCCGACGTCTTCTGTCCCACGGTCCCGACCTCTTCAACCTACCCGACCCGCTCTTAAAACTCTCTGAACCCGTGTGCAACTTAGGCGTCAGGTTCGATCCCCAGTTATCCTTCCTTCCCCACATCCGGTCCCTGACCAGCACTGCTTTCTTCCACCTCCGCCACATTGCCCGTCTCCAACAATACCTCACCCCAAAAGCTGCAGAAACCCTTGTCCATGCCTTTGTCACCTCTCGGCTGGACTACTCTAATGCCCTTCTCACTGGTCTACCCTCCTCCACTATACACAAAATCCAGCTCATTCAAAACTCCGCCGCCTACATTTTCACTCGCACCAAACTCCACACCCTGATTACCCCAGTCCTTGCCAAACTCCACTGGCTCCGTCACAAAGCGGATCGACTTCAAGATCCTCACTCCAGTGTTTAATCCCTCCATCTCTCTAACCTCCTCTCTCCCCACAGCGGTACCCGCTGACTTCGCTCTACTGGGACCGGCCTCCTCCTCGTCTCCCGAATCCTCCGCTCCACCATCGGTGGCCATGCCTTCAGCCACTACTCCCCGAAGCTTTGGAATTCCCTCCCTCAAACCCTTTGCCTCTCCCCCTCCTTCCCCATCTTCAGATCACGCCTGAAGACTTTCCTTTTCCCTAACCTTCCCCCTCTCCCTGGCTTGGCTTTGGGCTCCACCATTGTTAAGCACTCTGAGACGCCACCCAGCGTGGAGGGCGCTATATAAGTGGAAGTTGTTGTATTTTTCCGGTGTGTGCGTATCTCCTTCTATTGTGTGAGTGTTTCCTGACTGCTCCCTTCCCTCAGCAGCCTCCGACCTGTTCCGTGTCCCTCACCCGGCCCGAACCACTATCAGCGATCGGGCCTTCAGGCTTTCTGCTCCCACCTTTTAGAATTCCATCCTCTAATCCCTTCGTCTTGCTCCCTCCCTTTCCTCCTTCAAAGCACGTCTCAAGACCCTCCTTTGACCCCGCATTTGGCCACCCTCCTACTCCTACCCTATCTAGCCTCCACTGACCTCATCCCAACCCCCAGCTCGGGTCCAAATCCCTGATTGTCCAGCGACTTGGGACATCCTCCCGACGTGAAAGGCGCTTTACAAATGTAATTTGTTGTTGTTGTTGTGGTTGTGTGTGTGTATGTCTATCTCTGGCATGCGTGTCTCTCTCTTTGGTGTGTATGTCTCTCTCTGGTGTGTGTGTGTATATATCTGTGTGTGTGTGCCTCTCTCTGGTGTGGATCTTTCTCTGGTGTGTGTCTCTCGTTCAATCTGGTGTGTGTGTGTGTCTCTCTTTCTCTGGTGTGCGTGATTGTATGTGTCTCTCTGGGGTCTATGTCTCTTTCTGTTGTGTATAAGTGGCTGTGGTCATGGTGTTTGTCTCTCTGTGGTTTGTGTGTGTGAGTCATTCTCTCTAATGTGTGTGTTCCTCTCTGGTGTGTGTGAGTCTCACCAGTTCTGGCCAGACTCCACTGGCTCCCCATCACTGAACTGATCGACTTCAAGATCCTCACACTTGTGTTCAAATCCCTTCACACTCTGGCACCTCCCTACCTCTCAGACCTCCTCACTCCCCAATCCACCACCCAGTGCCTCTGCTCAACTGGTGTGTGTGTGTCTCTCTCTATTTCTGATGTACACGGATGACACCCAATTCTATCTCCCTGCCTCGACACCAGGACCTCTGCTGTCCTGACAGAATGTCTGTCAGACATCAAGCCTTGGATGAGAGCTAACTTTCTTCAGTTGAACATCAACAAGACCGAGGCTCTCCTGATTGGCTCCTGTCAGCGCCTCCACACCTCAGGCACTGACAGCATCACCATCCATGGTTGCACACTACATCTTACTAAGCCAGTCCGGAACCTTGGGGTCTTGTTTGACCCTCAAATGTCCTTTCTACCCCACATCCATGCCATGACCTGCTCTGCCTTCCCTCACCTCCGCAACATTGGCCGGCTCCGCCACAGTCTCATACCACAAGCCGCCAAGACCCTCATAAACGCATTCAGCCTCGACTATGCAAACTCCCTGCTTATTGGCCTTTTCAAGTCCTTCCTCCATATGTTGCAGATCATCCAGAATTCTGCAGCCCATGTCCTCTCCTGTACCAGGCTCCGTGACCCTATCACCCCCATCCTCTGTTTCATGTGTGTCTGTCTCATGTCTGTGACTCTCTCTGTGCAGTCTCGCTTCAGCATCTTCTTCTGTTTTACCTTACTTTCTCTCTTCTGCCCCCGTATTGATCTCCAACTTATGATACAAGAATATAATAAATAATTCTTGCATTTGATATAGTGCCTTATCATCAAAGTGCTTCACAGGATATACTGTAAAGTGAATTGACTTTGTTTTGTGGGCAAATCGCAGCAGCCAGTTTTGAGCGCATCAATGTCCCACAAACAGCCATGAAACGAGTGACCAATTTTATTTAGGGGATTGTTGGTCAGAACATTGGGAGAAACTCCCTTCCCTTTTTGATTAGTGTCACCTAAACAAACAGAGCCTCGGTTTAACCTCTCACATGAAGATCGGCGTTGCAAAGCACCTCCAGCACTGCACTGGAGCCTCAGCTTGGACTAAGTGATCCCAAGTCCCAACGTGGTGCTTGAACCCACAACTTTCTGGCTCAGAGGTGAGAATACTACCTCCATTCCAACCAGGCTGTCTGGCAGAATGGAAGTATCGGGTATGCGGCTCGAAGCTGAATCACTGGGAGTGAGTGTCCCATCCACTGGTCACAGAGGTCCAGGGAGTGGTTGTCAGGGCAGGCCAAGCCTGAGCTCTGACTGTGCGGACAAGGGCGCAAGCTTTCAACTTAACTCCATCTCCTGGCACTGCGCCACGCACCAATCAAAATAATAATATTTCTTGCATTTGATATGGCGCCTGACACCAACAATTTGCACTTATATAGCGCTCTCCACGAAGGGTAGCATCGCATAGTGTTGACATGGGGCTTGAACCCACAACCTTCTGACGTAGAGGCAAGAGTTCTACCAACTGAGCCAAGCTGTCATCTAGTCATGGATTAAAATGATAATAATAATAATAATCCTTGCATTTGATATAGTGCCTTATCACTTCCGTTTCAAAGCACTTCAACAACAATGATAATAATAATAATCCTTGCATTTGATATAGCGCTTTTCATGTCTTCTCGACATCTCAAAGCGCTTCACAGAATAGACTGTAAAATGAATTGACCGTATATTTGTGGGTGAAACACAGCAACCAATTGCGCACAGCAGTGTCCCACAAACAGTCGTGGATTGAAAATGACCAATTTATTATTGTTTTGTTTTGGAGGGATTATTATTAGTTGTGTGGAGTAAGGAAACTTGCCCAAGGTTTCGCCCTATCTGGAATTGAACACAGGTGTCTCGCTTGCAAGATGAGTGCTCTAACCACTAAGCTACAACAACTTTTATATAGCATTTATATAATGCCCTTCACGTGGTGTAGGCTTGACAATGGTGGAGTCTGACCCCGAGCCAGGAGAAAAGGGAGGGGGAGGTGACCGTAAGCACGATCAAAAAGGAACGTCCTTACGTGGGATTTGAACGTGGGGAGGGAGTGAGTAAGACGGAGGAATTGAGGAGAGAGTTCCAGAGTTTCAGGGTGTAGTGTAGTGGCTGAAGGCACGTTCACCGATGGTAAAGCGGAGGGGACGAGGGACAAACAGGATGCCAGAGCTGACCGAGCTGAGGGAGTGGGTGGTGGAGTGGGGGGTAAGCAGGTCAGATAGGTAGGGAGATGCGAGGGCATGAAGGGATTTCAAAATGAGTGAGAGGATCTAGAAATCGATTCGTTCGGTAATTGGGAGTCAGTGCAGCCTGGCAAGGACTGGTTTGATGGGAGTGCGGAATTTTGTGTAGGTGCGTATCCAGGTGGTGGAATTTTTAATTAATTCGATTTTCTGTATGGTGGAGCTGCGGAGACCAGTGAGGGGGTTGTTGGAATAGTCCAGCCAGGAAGTGACAAAGACATGGACGAGGGTTTGTTGTGTTGGTTGTGAAGTTTGGATGGAGGCCGGCAATGTGGCGGAGGTGAAAAAAAGCTGTCCTGGTCAGGAAATGGATGTGTGGTAGAAAGGAAAGCTGGGGATCAAACCTGACATCTAAGTTGCGCACAGATTCAGTGAGTCTGAAGGAGAGTCCGGGAAGGTTGAGGAGTTCAGACCCGCAGGAGAGAAGACATTGACGGGAACCAAAAAATATGGCTTCCTTCTTACAGACAACAATGTCATGTCACCTATCACCCTGATAGGAGTCCTGTAGCTCACTTTGCAAGCGAGAGACCTGAGTTCAATTCCAGGCAGAGGGCGAAACCTTGGGCAAGTTTCCTTACTCCACATAGAGCCTAATAATAATCCCTCCAAAACCAAAAACAATAATAAATTGGTCATTTTCAATCCACGACTGTTTGTGGGACATTGCTGTGCGCAATTGGCTGCCACGTTCGCCCACAAATATAGTCTTCACTTTACAGTATATTCTGTGAAGCGCTTTGGGACGTCCTCCCGACGTGAAAAGCGCTATATCAAATGCAAGGATTATTATTATTAGCTACAGGAAATTTGTGCTCATCCAGGTCTTGATCAAACAAGCTGACAGGACATCAGCGGACTGGGAATCGCAGCTGAAGGAGAAGTAGATTTGGGTGTCCACATACATTTGGAAGTTTACCCCATGTCTGCGGATAACATCACTACGAGGGAACATGTGGATGAGGAAAAGAAGGGGGCCAAGGATGGAAGCCTGGGGTTCCCCACAGGTGACTGGGCGGGGGTAGAAGGAAAAAACATTTGCTGAGATGTTTTGTTGGTGGTTTGTTCAGTAAGATTCAAACCATATGAGTGCAATCCCGCTAAAAATGCATGAGGGAGGAGAGGTGGTGGATGAGAATGGTGTAGTTGAATGTGTAAAATACGGAGGTCTAGGAGAATGAAGAGGCAGAGGGAGCCTTGGTAACAGAGAGCACATCATTTATTCCTTTGACAAGCTCTGTCTCTGTGTTGTGGATTAAGGTGAAAATCAGACTGGAGGGGTTTGAGTATGGAGGGGAGGGAGAAGTGTGAGCGAAGTTGATTTGCAACCTGAGATTTGAGGTTTGAGATGGGTCTGAAGTTCGTGAGGTTGGAGGGTAGGTTTTTAAAGGAGTATTGACAGCAGTTTTAAGGAGAAGGAGGAGGACAAAGCCTGAGGAGAGGGACCGGTTGATTGTATCAGTGGGCAGAGGAGGTGACCAGAAGCTGGATGGGAAGAGGATTGAGGCACAGGGTCAGGGCAGCAGGTGGTGGGCTTCATCTGAATGATTGTGGATGAAAGGGAGGAGGGAGAGATGGACAAAGGAGTGTAAAGTTTGGGCCTTGGTAGGAGCCGTGGTAGGAGGAGGAGGTGATGAAGGAGGCATGGGGAGGGTGATAGGTGACATGGGGTGGTGGGGGGGGGGGAGCAGGAGGAGAAGCCAGGTGGATGTTATCTATCTAAGAGATAAAGAGGTCCATGACCTCTTCGCAATTGGCATCTGAAGTGAGGATTGAGGGTTCTTGAAAGGGGACTTGGAGGAAGTGCTGGGTTGGAGAACAAGATTTTGGGGTTGTTTTGGGCAGAATATACTGTAAAGTGGATTGACTGTATTTTGTGGGCACTTTATACAATACAATACAAAAATTACATTGACCGGAACCATAGAGTATGGCTTCTATCTTGCCAACTCTCTCCTGCGGTCTGAACTCCTCAACCTCCCCGGGCTCTCCTTCAGACTCACTGAACTCGCGTGCAACAGTGGAGTCCTGTAGCTCAGTGGTTAGAGCAATCCCCTTGCGAGTAGAGGACCTGGGTTCAGTTCCCAGCAGGGCGACACATTGGGCACGTTTCCTTACTCCACACCCCTCAATCTAGCAATAAGTAGGAACCTGGTTGTTAGTCGATTGGCGGATTGCTTTCTGGGGGTAGTAATCTCTTCAAAAAAATAATAGTCACTCAATCCACGACTGTTTGTGGGACACTGCTGTGGGCAATTGGCTGCTGCATTTCGCCCACAAAATATACAGTCAATTCACTTTATAGCATATTCTGTGAAGCGCTTTAAACCGTCTCAAAGACGTGATAAGGTACTTTATGGAATCCATGGATTATTATTATTATTATGGTGCCTTTCACGTCGGAAGGACGTCCCGAGGCTTTTTCCAGGTTTGTAACCTGGATACCTGAACAAAACTATGTCTCTGCTCTACTTGTCGACACAAACCAAAAAAAACCTCCTCCCGAACAGACAGAAGCTTTGATGTAAACGGCACTGTATTAGCCCTGAGGTTGCGCACCGACTGCTGTGTGTGTTCCACACAGTGACACAGTGACAGGAGCCACACAGCGCAGCGCAGCACTGCACTGCCTATCCCGTTATCAGCACCGAGCGCACACTGCCCACCGCGGGCAGCCGCACCTACCAGAGATTTCGCTGTCCCCATCCTGTTCAGACCGTCCAAAGGAAGCAGATCTGCCGAGTCCTTGTGAGTGAACTGGACCGCTTGCTTCAGCCGCCTCTGCTGGTGCAGGATCGCCTTGTCCCTCAGGTTCAGCTCCTTTTTCTTGCACTCAGACATCGCTGTGGATTTGCCTCCTTATCGCTCGCCCCTCTGTGGTGTCTGGGACTATCGCTCTGACCCTTCCCTAATGCTCTCTCCTCTCAGCGCTTCCCTCTGCGGTTGGGTAGGTGGCTCTCCCCCCCTCTCCCCCCCACCGCCTGCAACACACGTCACCACCACACAGACATCTCCATGAGTGTAATACCATGAGAGAGAGAGAGAGAGAGGACTCTGCAGAAAGCTGCTGATGAGAGCTGTAGGGACCGAGCACAGGGCGCACCGAGACCTCGCGGGGATTTACCGTTGGCGACTGTGGTTCTTCTCCCCCAACTTAAACCCCGACTGAGCTCAGTGGTGCAGTCGCCTTTGCCGTTGGGGCTGATTCCAGGCGAGTTTTCGCTGCTGATGAGACGAGCTCCACCGTCTTCCCCATTGCGCAATGACTGTAGTTCCAGTGTGTTCCCCCAGACCAGAGCTCAGACCCGCTGCATTACCCTCTTGTATTTTTTACGTTCACTAAATATTTTCGTGAATTTGTGGTCCACATTGAAGGTTCATTCCATTCAGCGTGTGTTGAGGTGTAATTGTGTAACTGACCAGCTCCAGTGTGAATCCTTTAGGAGATAAAGGATTTATTCATTTAAACAGATTTAGGGCAATTGAGGGGTTGGTAGGGATCCCATTGAATTTGGATGTGAATAAATTCCCAATCTCATATTTGAAGTCGATTTGTTTAAGGCAGTTTGTGAAATAGATTTTGTGAGGAGGCTTCCAGCTTTTAGTTTGCAGACAGGGTTTCTCACAATTACTTGTTTTAAATACAATAATAATCACAATCCTTACATTTGATATAGTGCCTTATCAAGTCGTTGAGAAGTCTCAAAGCGCTTCACAGGATACACTGTAAAGTGGATTGACTTGTATATTTTGTGGGTGTAGCGTGGCAGCCAATTGCGCACAGCAGTGTCCCACAAACAGCTAAGGAGTGAATGACCAGGTAATAGGAAAATTTGTTTCCTTTTTCGAATAGTGCCAAGGGATCTTTAATGACCCTGGATCATGTCTCATCTGAAGGATTTATTGCCCCAGGAAAAGCTAGCTGCCAATCGACTACTGGGTTCCTTCTTACTGCTAGGTGTATATAGAGTAAGGAAACTTGCCCAATGTTTCGCCCAGCCCGGGAACTGAATTCAGGTCATCTCGCTTGCGAGATGAGTGCTCTAACCATTAAGCTACAGGATTCCAAGTAATAGGTTAATGTGGTATGTTACTGATTGGTTAGAGCTGTATATAATAATAACGATAATAATCCTTGAATTTGATATAGTGCCTTATCACGACATGAGAACGTCTCAAAGTGCTTCACAGGATATACTGTAAAGTGGATTGATTGTGTATTTTGTGGGCGAAATGTGATCCAGAAGGTTGGGGCATAGTGACTGAAGGCTGACCTGATAGAGGAGGAACCCACTATATATAGACAAGTGACAATAATGATAATAGATTTTTTTTTGGTCAGCTAGGTGTCTTGACACATGAGGAAACCCATCATCATGCTTAAGAGTATCCAAACCAAACTGAGATTTCCATACATCTCACCTAGAGGTGTAAATCCTAGAGATAGATTGTTGGAATGGAAGGGGAATAACACCCTGGAGGGACTCATCCTACTTACCTAATTCTGGAAAATGTTAGGCGCAGATTGGCAAGACCCAAGGCTTGGGGATCCCAGGGTGTATGTTGGAGTAACTGCTGGAGTCCAACCTGCTAAGCCCACGTAGCTTGCCATTGATATTGCTGTCTAGCAAGCTTTTCCACTGTTTGTCCAGCTAGAACCATCCCACCTGTTAGGGCTTTGTCTTGCTGGGTTAACAGGAGCTGAGTTGGTTGACTCCCTGCCCCCAGTAACTGGTCTGCCCTTCCAGGTCCTGCCGATGAGCCAGGGTGGCTGTGCTGTCATCAGTAATGCCCTGGAATACTGTGGACCCAGGTGGCTCAGGAACAGGACTACCAAGATCACCACAGAGTACTGACTCAATTCCGACATTCCATTAATAATAATAATAATAATCCTTGCATTTGATATAGCGCTTTTCACGTCGGGAGGACGTCCCAAAGCGCTTCACAGAATATACTGTAAAGTAAATTGACTGTATATTTGTGGGCGAACGCGGCAGCCAATTGCGCACAGCAATGTCCCACAAACAGTCGTAGATTGAAAATGACCAATTTATTATTGTTTTGGGTTGCCAGCCATTGCCAGCCATGTCACCTTGGAGCCAGTTCAGCTACAAAGAAACCCTGCTTATTCTCGCCCCAAGGAGGACAGTCACTAATAGGTCATTTGACATCCGACAAGTGCGGGTTTGAGTCCTCACTGGGTGGATGGTACATACAAGGAACTCCTTGTGAGTTTCCCAATGAGCGATGGTTCCACCAATTGGAGGTATGGAGTTTAAGCAGCAGCTGCCTGCATCTCTGCAGGCAATCAAGATGGATTCCAGGTGCTGGACGTTTGTTCACAAACTCGGACTCCAGGTAACGCCTTCCAACAGCTGTCGCCCCAAGTCTCAGAATTCCTCATCAGCTATCTGGTGGGCAGCTACCTTCAGCCTTGTGGGAGGACCTTTACAGGACAGCTTGTAATGTGTTAGCTACTTTGACGTTCTCGAGGTCCAGTCCAATGCCGGGTACCAGGTTTAGTACCAGCTGCTTAATCCAGGTCCTCATGCGAGGGACCTTGGCAAACAGACATGCCTGGTGTGAAGCCGACTCAGCCTCCAGGCTGTTTAGTGTCAGGTCAGTGTAGGTCAAAGCTCTCCCTCCTTATAGCCGCTTTTCATGTTTGCCACAAATGGTTGATCCTGGACTTTGCAAATGGGTCGGAGGAAACCTCTCCACTACATTCCCTGGAGCTCAGATTGGTAAAGGAGGAAATAATTGATTAACATGGTACAGCAGTTGGCACGAAGAAAGCTGACTTTTCACTTCAGCAGTGTAGCAAGTTCCCCCTCTGTTGACCTACTGATGTGTATTGTTTTGACTGTGCTATTTATTGGATAAAATGTCTATATGATGAAGTGGTAATTGCAGCTTTGCCGCAGTTTTAATGGAAAACTGCTCCCGTCAGTACTTGAGATGCTGTGTGCACAAAAATGGAGTGTGCAGTGTTGAATTACGGCTGCCAATCTGTTAGTGCTCACTCTGTAGGCAAACAGGAGAAAGAGCAGCTCACTGCTGGACTGCACTGCATCACTCCAGAGCCTACCTCTCACACCATCTCCAATTCATCTCCACAAATGGCTTCACCTCTGGCCCCTGCGCCATCTACGTGGCATCCTCAGGGCTCTGTCCTTGGTCCCCTCCTCTTCAACATATACATGCTCCCTCTTGGTGACATCATCTGCAGACATGGGGTCAATTTCCCCATATATGAGGATGACACCTAACTCTATCTCTCTGCCTCCACCCTCAACTCCAGGACCACTGTTGTCCTGACAGAATGTCTGTCATACATCAAGTCCTGGATGAGAGCTAACTTTCTACAGTTGAACGTCAACAAGACCGAGGCTCTCCTGATTGGCTCCCATCAACGCCTCCTCACCTCAGGCACTGACAGCATCACCATCCATGGCTGCACACTCCACCTCACCGAGTCAATTTGGGACTTTGGCATCTTGTTTGACCCTCAACTGTCCTTTCTACCCCACATCTGTGCCATGACCCACTCTGCCTTCCCCCACCTCTGCAACAATGTTCGGCTCCACCATTGCCTCACCCCTCAGGCCACCGAAACCCGCATAAATGCTTTGCAAGTGAGAGACCTGAGTTCAATTCCTGACAGGGCGAAACCTTGGGCAAGTTTCCTTACTCCACACGCCTAATAATAATCCCTCCAAAGCCAAAAACAATAATAAATTGGTCATTTTCAATCTACGACTGTTTGTGGGACATTGCTGTGCGCAATTGGCTGCCACGTTCGCCCACAAATATACAGTCAATTCACTTTACAGTATGTTCTGTGAAGCGCTTTGGGACGTCCTCTCGACGTGAAAAGCGCTATATCAAATGCAAGGATTATTATTATTATTATTTATCAATCACATCTAGGCTCAACTACGCCAACTGACTACGCCAACTCCCTGCTTGTCAGCCTTCCCAGCTCTTCCCTCCAAAAGCTGAAGATCATCCAGAACTCTGCAGCTCATGTTCTCTCCTGTACCAGACTCTGTGATCCTATCACCCCTCGCCTGGCTCCACTGGCTCCCCATCCCCCAAAGAATCGAGTTCAAAATCCTCGTCCTCATCTTCAAGGCCCTCCACGGCCTTGCCCCTTCCTATCTCTGTGACCTGCTGACCTCATATCAACCTGTCCACTCACTCTGCTCAGCAGGATGTGGCCTACTCTATGTCTCCCACCCGACCCGTCCCACCATTGGTGGTCGTTCGGGCCTTCAGCCTTCCTGCCCCCACCCTTTGGAACTCCATCCCGCATTCCTTTTGCCTTACTTCCTTCCTTGACTCCTACAAGGCGTGTCTCAAAACCCTCCTCTTCGACTGTGCCTTCGGCTATCCTCCCTGCCTGCAATCCTCCCCGATCCTGAGTGCCAGCTCAGGTCCAAATCCCTGACTGTCCAGCGTCTTGGGACACCGTCCCGACATGAAAGGCACTATACAAATGTAATTTGGTATTGTATTGTATCTGGCACTTGATACCAAATCGTCATATACACATACAAACCACTACACGGGCACAGTTATATGCACACAGAGACACATATATATACAGGCTGGCACACTCAAATTCAAGCACACACACAGAATGCACACTCACTAACATTGGCATACACACAAATGCACAGAAACAGAACACATACGTACACACATTCTTCGATTCCCCACCCCCATGATGCACTGTGTGACCAAAGCACTCAGGGCCATTCACTTTCCCCCCAAAAGTACATCAAAGAGTGTCAGCATTGGCCTAGATTTTAACAGTTCTCCTACGATATTAATCCACAGCACCTCAAATTACCACTGTAGGTAAAATCTTCCTTGATCTGCACGGAAGATCTGATTGATCTGTTCAGCATTCCATCTCATGGCTCAGTTTTATAGGCCTTTCACCTCTGGAATAGACCTCATAG